ACACACACACACACACACACACACACACACACACACACACACACACACAAACCTCTTCTTTCACTTTTTCTATTTGATCTGGCTTAGTGAAGAAACCTATTATCAGGCTACAGAAAACCTATTTATTTTTTTGATTAGTGATTGATGGGGAAGGGCACACACTATTGTGGGTATTGGTACCCCTGAGCAGATGGTCCTGGCTGCTATAAGAAAGCAGTCTGAACAAGCCATGGCAAGCAAGCCAGTAAGCAACAATTGATGGAGGAGGGTCATCTGTCTACATGTTACTTTCATTGGTTAATAAAGAGACTGCCTTGGCCTTTGATAGGATAGCAACTTAGATAGGTGGAGTAGACAGAACAGAATGCTGGGAGAAAGAAGCAGAGTCAGGCTGAGTCAGAGAGCTGCCTGCCATGAAGCTACAGGGTCAGACATGCTGAATATTTCCTGGTAAGCCACGAGCTCATGGTGACATATAGAATATTAGAAATGGGTTGAATCAATATGTAAGAGTTAGCCAATAAGAGGCTACAGATAATGGGCCAGGCAGTGTTTGAATGAATACAGTTTCCGTGTAATTATTTCGGGTAAAGCTAGCCGGGTGGGCAGCAGGAAGCAGCCCACCATTCCTTCTACAGAGTGGCACCTAACGTTGTAACTAAATCCACTTAAAAACCTGAGAGGCCTTTTAAAAAAGGGAAGAAAGTTTAACACAGTTTTTTGCTGTTTGTTAGGACGTGCCGTAGAGAAATTTCCTGTTTCAGCAATAGCAGCAGAAAAAAAGCTGCGTCATTTTAAAACGCAGCTTCCTGGGCTGTGCCGCCTGTATAAACTCTGGCTTTAAAGCATTTCAATGACTTTTATGGGCCTGGATGTTTTTACTCTGAGACCATGCCAATGGCTCAGCGCTCCCTGCCTGCACCTGGGCAGATGGCTGGGTGGTACAGAAACCCCAACAAGCTGGCCATCATGTTGCAGATGGCACCCACGTGGATAACTGCATCCACATAAAGCCTGAGAAAAAGAATGTTTTCTTGGTAGCAGCAATTTCTCGGGTCTGCTCTTCTTGCTAGAGGCAAGCAAGTGCTCTCATCTAAGAGAGGCTTCCTGACTCAGCTTTAGCTGCAAAACCCTGCAGCTCTTTTAAGAGGTCCTGCCACATAACACTTAAATGGTGTTGATGAAAAGCTGAAGGCATGCTTTTCAGTTTTCAGCCATAGCAGGAAAAAAGCTGTGCTGTTTTAAAATGCTGGTTTTCTGGGCCATCCTGCCAGGGCAAACTCTGACTCTTTCAGACAGGCAGTCCGACTGAGTATGGTCTTTGAGCAGAATGCTGCAGCTTGCTTGCTGGCTGGCAGGGACCTTGAAACACCATAGAGTTGTGGCAATAAAAATGGCTACAGCCAGGACCTCTGTCATGAGGCTGGGAAGCTAAGGAATGGGCTGGATCCAGTCGTCAAAGCCATGGCTTTAACCCTCTCCTTAAAGACTCATGTAGTCAGAAAAAGAAATACAGTAAAGAGAGATTCAAAGACGAAAAAATCTCTAAATGTTTTACAGTGTGTTAAAAATATATGAAGGCTAAAAGTTAAAAAGAAAGAAAGAGTAGTTGGGTGTGGTGGTACACACCTTTAATCCCAACACAAGGGAGGCAGAGGTAGATTGACCTCTGTGACTTCAAGGGGTAGATGTAGATTGACCTCTGTGACTTCAAGATGTGGTAGCATGCACCTTTAATCCCAATGCCTGGGAGGCAGAGACAGACAGATCTCTGAGTTCAAGGTGTGGTAACACATACCTTTAATCCCAGCACTAGGGAGGCAGAGATAGTCGGATCTCTGTGAGTTCAAGGACAGCCTGGTCTACAGAGTTGTTCCAGGACAAAGATATACAGAGAACCTGTCTCAAAAAGTAAAAGTAAAAATAAAATAGAGGTTAAAACAAAACCGCATAAAGATGGAAAATACACAGACAATCTTGATACTGTATGCTATTATGCTCTCTTTGAATTGTTTGAATGCTGAGGAAGGAGCAACAGCTGCTAAAAGATATTTGCTTATGAATGCTGCTGAATTAATCCAAGATAGATACTTTGAAAATACCTTGGCTTCAAAATTGAAGTCAAAAGGTATGTTACTTTGGAGAAGAGATTTTGGTTTTGTTTCCACAGAAAATGAGAGGCTGTGGATTCATTCTGAGTTAAGAAAATTCCAGTTTGATCAAGGAAGTGTCCCACGCCCGGTCTTGCCAGCAAGAACCACGCGGAACACTAGGATCCTTCTGCAGAAATAGCTTTAATACTTCTTGGGAGAGAGAGTATCAGCCAACATGGCCAGGGACGCCGGACAAGGTGAACCCAGCCCTATATAAAGGAAGCAGTCCTTGCTTCGGACGTGTCACTCTTGGATAGGTCAACTGTCCATAATCCCAGGTGAATGCCTCAGGAGTAGGCGGGGACAGCAGTGGGAAATTACCGAGCACATGTGCGTTCACCTGGCGGTGAAGCCGGATGTCAGCGCCATCTTGTGATGGAGAATGTGGCTGCGGCCCTCTACAAGGAAGACCACCTGAGAAATCTCCAGTAGAAACAGATGACCCAGATGTCTGAGTTCTACATCCAGAACAGATTCAAGATGCTGCCTGAGATGATCAGGACTCACAGGATACTCCAGTCAGGACTTGATTATAACTCTAAATTTTCTTTAGGTCCCCATAAGATTATCAGCACCCCCAGTCAGCAGGAAGTAGCCTGGAAAACTACGCCCACATTCCCAAAAAAATGAACTATGGATATTTTCCTTTGTTTAAAAAAAAGAGGGGGAAATGGTACGGGAGAATTGTCTATAATCTGTCAATCATATTTTAAATAAATGCTGATTGGCCAGGCAGGAAGTATAGGCAGGAAAACCAGACAGGAAGTAGAGGTGATGCGATGAGAACAGGAATATTCTGGGAAGCAGGAAGCTCCCTCAACCACTCCTGCCCAGATCACTGAAGAAGCAACATGTGAGCTTACAGCTGGAAAAGGTACTCAGCCACATGGCTAACACAGACAAGAATTATGGGTTATTGTAAGATGTAAGAATTAGTTAACAAGAAGCTAGAGCTAATGGGCCAATCAGTTTATAGCCTAATGTAGACTCTGTGATTTTCTTTGGGATATGCCGGTTGTGGGGTACTGGGTGGGACAGATACCCCCAACAAGCAAGCTGGCCCTCATGCTACAAACAATCCTCTATGGGCTTCTACACCAGCTCCTGGCTCTAGGCTCCTACCCTGTATGAGTTCCTGCCCTGATTTTCATCAGTGATAGGCTGTGACATGGAACTATAAGCTGAAATAAATCCTTTCTTCTCCAGGTTGTTTTGTTTACAGTAATAAAACACCTAGCTAAGAGAGTCAATGGGTCCTGTTGCTTTGGGGCCTGGACCAGCACAGCACATCATTGCAGACAAGTCTGGCAGAAGAGATCTGTTCATGTCATGGTCAGGAACAATCAAGGAAAGAGATCAAGGCCTCATTAATCCCTTAAGAAGCATATATCCAATAATCTAAGGTAGTCTTGCTAGGTTCTATCTTTTAGAAGATTCCACTACCTCTCAAGATTGTATCTCTGGATACAAACTTTTAACATGGGGATAATTGGGAGATGCATAAGGTCATTCTTTTCACACATATCTGAGAGTGCAGAGATACATTCACATAAAAACTGTTATGCAAGTATATAAAACTGGAAAAGGCTTTATAACTGCCCAAACATCTTCCAACAGAGAATGCAAAAATAAGATGTGGTATATCCATATGATGGAAATATATTCAACAATTAAAACAAACCACTAACTTATCTTATATTTCATATAAATCTCAAATTAACCAAGCGTTGTCAAAGAAGCTATAGCCAACATTCCACATAATTCCATCCATGCAACATTTGAGATAAGCAAACTCTATGGATAGAGAATAGCCATAGAGGCAATGCCGGGACTCAGTAACCTGGCTCCTCCAACTCCACTGGATCCACAGGACATATTTTTGTTTTTGAGGCCCTCCTAATAGCCCTTGTAGTGTTATTTCAAATGTATTTTAATAAATAAAGACTGCCTGGAGATCTGAGAGTAAAACAGTCTCACTAGTTAGCCTTACAAACCAGGTTATGATAACACGCACCTTTAATCTCAGTAGTCACAATGACACATACCTTTAATCCCAGTGACACACTAGTTGCCACAGAAACTGGGTGGTACATGCCTTTAATGACAGTGGTGCACACATTTACTTCCAGCCCTAGAGAGAAATATAAGACAGGGGAAGACAGCTCTCAGAAGCAGTTTCCTTCTGAGATTCCAGAAGGTACTATCGCCATTTCAGACTGAGGTCGAGGTAAAAGCCAGTGGCTGGCTGTTTTGCTTTTTGGGATCTTCAGACTGAACCCCAATTTCTGACCCTGAGCTTTTGTTAAATCATGCTTCAAGCCCTGTTACCAACCAGAGGAGAGGGACAAACTCAGATAAAGGGGTCACACAAACAAAAGACAAGAGGTTATACTTAAGTAGCCAGCTCACCAAGGGCTGTGGGAGGCAAGGAAGTACTGGCTGGTACTTCACTGTGTTTGGGGTGATGAATCTGTTCTCTGCTTAGTTTTTTGCTGTTGTTGTTTTTTAAGCACAAAGTCTCATGTAGCTCAGGCTGGCCTTTATCTCCTCTTTCTCTCTCCAAAGTGCTGGTGTAACAGGTGTACACTACCATGCTCAGTCAGTTCTAAAGTTTGGAGGAGGTAGTGGTTACACAACTATTTGCATTTGCCAAAAAAAAATCACCAAAATGGAAAGACCTGACTGTAAAAATGAAAAAGTCAATACAAAACACATTATTTTAGAAATTACTTTTATAGTACTGGGGACCGAACCCAGGGATCCACATATGTTAGGTCATTATAAATAATGTCAAAACTTGAGGGGAAATAATTGGAAATGATAACTCTGTTCTGTCATAGTTTATTAAGGAAGATGAGCAAGAAGAAATAAAGCATATGTCCAAAACCAAAAATGATGTAATCCATCTTTTTGAAACAACATGAATATATTCCTACTTACTAATTACTAATAAATTTATTTAGACAGAATGAATACTATCTCCTTCAAAAAACTATGTATGTTCCCAAACAACATTATGACAGAGGTGGCAGGGTTGGCACACACCTTTAATATCAGTACTCAGGAGGCAAAGGCAGGCAGATCTGTGTTTAAGGCCAGTCAGGTGTACAGAGTGAGTTCTAGAATAGCCAGGACTACACAGAAAATCTCTTGTCTCGAGAAAGAGAGAGTAATGTCTTGTCTTTGATAGTTCAGTACCCACAGCACCTAGCTTACAGTCCCTTCCTGGTCCATCTCTGGAAAGGTTCCCTAAGGTATGTAAGAAATCAGGCTGAGCAACCCTATGAGGAACAATCCAATAAGAGCTTTTCTAACAGTCTACGCCTCAGTTCCTGTCTCCCAGTTCTTGTCCTGACTTTTCATTGTGATGGACTGTAAGCTATAAACTGCAATAAACCCTTCCTTCCAAAGTTTGGTTTTGGTCATCACATCAATAGAAAAGTAACTAAGACTTATTGTAGATATTAGAATAAAGATGATAACATTTTTCTGAATTTGGTAAAGACATTTTAATTTTTCTCAGAATATGTTAAGGAATAATGTAATATGGAACTTCAAAATCAAGAAAACATCTTTAAAGTGGAATGACTATTTTTAACACTTTATATCTGTTTTTAGTTATACATTAATAATTCATACTTTATTAGGACATACCAATTGGACAAACTAGTGGTTTTTATTGAGACATTTTCATACATGTATACAATGTTCTTTGTTTATATCCCACATTACTCTCCCTTCCCTCCCACCCTCACCCCTGGTTTTTCTTACCCTGAAATGCCTCTTCTAATTTATCTCTCTCTTTTTCTATTGACTAGTCTTAATTAGTACATTTTGCAATCAGACTGGATTCAGGTCATCAGGAATTCTTTAACTGGTTAGGGCTATTTACTGTGTACTGAAACAAACTTTCAAAAAAAGGTTAAGAATACTGGAATAAAAATTAGGCCATGAGCAGCCCCAAAAAACATAACAAGAAACATAATCTTAAAAAATGTCCTGAAGATGTAAGCTTTAGCTGCAGATAAAACACACACCCCTATTATTGTTGAAATTGCACTTTGCAGCACTGGATAGCCTAGCATATATAATGCCTCAATTGACTTTTTATTTACTGAGGTCTCAGTACTGGAAACAAATGCATAGGAAATGTGTGCAGAAAAATCAAAAGAAAACCCTATACAAATAACAAGATTAATCATGGATATGGAATCAAGATTAACATTCCAGAATGCCATAAAACCCGTCACTCCCACAATCACAGACGCAATAGCAAAAGTAACCCACAAGGAGCACACTGGGTGAGGAATTAACAATAAAGAAACAATGAGCATAGCTGTTGACGCAACCATGACATTTCGAACAGTGTTCTCTATTATCGCAGCATACTGATCAAAATAGATGAATGCCTGGTTATACACCATCAAGGGAACCTCACAGTTCTCAGCTATGCCTCGTAACTGCAGTAACATTCTCTTCTTATTGCTTGACATAGAAACCCTTACAGTCTGAATGAAGCCTCTGGAAGCAGTGATCTCATTTGATGAGGAAATATTAATATCATATGTAAAAACAGGGGAAACTTTTAAAAAACCTGAAATATTATTCATAAATGTATTCTTGTCATTAGGATTATTTCCACTGTTATTCATATATTGAATATATGCTTTCAACCAAAACTCTGTAAGATTTTTATCTACATATTCGTTTTCTTCAAATTTTATCATACAGTTGTCCAGCTTCTGTCTTACATCACCATCCCAGTAGTTAACACTCTCAGTGACTATGACCATAACCCTTGGACCATAGTCTGAAAAATAATCTTCCTCAACATTAAAATATGGTGTGATGTAGGAATCATCGCTCGCAAGGTTCCGAAGATCTAACCCTTCCTGCACTTGGAAACATCCATATATACTGCTTATGATGTAGAAAATGTATATCAGCACTACAAAAAACTTGGCTTTAGAAGTTGTGAGGAAAGGACCAAAATAGTCTCTAAAGAACAAATTCATTGGATGCTTATCTTCTCCATTCTCCTCTGGGGTTGAGCCAAATGGGACACAGCAGGATTTTTTTAATGAGGCATATTTTGGGTCTGGCTTTTCTAGCCAGTGGAAGCACGCAACTTCTCTTTTACCATCCAGAGCCATAACTGCTCCAAAACAGGTGATATTATAAAAATAGCAAAAGAGCAGAGTTGTTCCTGTATAGATGCAAAAATACTGTACAGACCTGAAAGAGCTGGAGATTCCTGTGTAAAAAGCAAGGACATTGGTGAGGGTGGTGATTGTAATGGACACTGCCACCTTTGAATATGAATTGGAGAGTCGTTCTCTTATACTTTCCATGAGGCTGGTCTTCTGCCAAGCAGAAATCATGATAAACATGTCATCAACCCCAACACCTATAACAAAAGAACAGATCTTTCTATATATTAATAATACACATTAAATATTAAAACGACCAAGCATTTTCTATTACTTGTCTTGAAAATCTCTGTTTCAACACCATCTTCTCAGTCTGCTTCTGAATTTATGACAAAATTTGTTACTCCTTCCTCTGTAATAGGTCTTAGTTTTGTATATACCTATGTTACTAGTACACAGAATACTCCCTAGTGTTTACCCAGGGTGTCTTCGTTATAAAATGAGGACATCTACCTGATTGCATACCAGTTGAAACAGCATCGGCAATCTATCTTTGATCCCATCAAACATTCTGTGGGAGTTGGCAAACGCTTTTGCAGGTAAGCATAAGGCTATCCAAGTTGTGCCATTTTTATTATAGCGCCCAATTTACAGATTTACTTTCAGGCATACACACAAATATAGTGTCCCTGTGGCTTTTATTTGACACCTAGCATGCAGTGGACAGAATGTTTCTTTAGTTCTGAGATGAGAAAGGTGCGCGAAAGTGAATCTTTGGAATCCTTTCCATGGTGCCATTTCATGGTTGACTTGAAACAGAAATGAAGAATGTTTGAGAGCTTTTACATTAATAGTGTAAAGAATGAAGACACAAAAGCAGGGAGACTAGACAGTCTGAGCCAGCTACCAATGACTTCCCCTTCCCTCCAGCATTAGACTGAAGTGGAGACCACTTGCAGTCATGTGTGCTTTTATTTCCATGTGTATTTAACAGCAGGTTTGGGACTGCAATGCTGATCTTTACTTCTTTTTCATTGGTTACAAGTTAAGATTAGGAGAATACTGGAAATTACAAACTGGCCTGTAGTTCAGATATAATTGAGGTAGGAAGATACAAAAGTTGTGCAAAGGTAGAGGGGCTGTCATATACTGTATGGTAGCACACCATGACTAGCAACTGAACAGAGGAAACAATCAGAGGCACTAAAAACTAAGAATGGAATTCACTGGTATCTCTTGGGTGTTTAAAACCTGATTTTATTACTTATGGAAATTTGTTCAGAAATTCTCCTTACAGTTCTTGAGTTGCTAGAATTACATATACTCTATACAAATCTATACTTACAATCCTATGGATGCAGACCATATGAATACAGTGAATACAAACTGGCTTACAATAAATACATCAACCTAGCCATTGATGACTATGGGCACAGTGGCTGACTGTATGAACATGAGGGTGTAATCTTAAGAGCAGGCTAAACTGGTGTGCAATATAAACCCATCTATCTACAGGGGAAAAAACTGATTTCTCTCAAATTGCATAGTTTGACATACATACTTACTGTAAAATAAAATTTAAAAACAGCAAAACAAAAAAACTATAATCACCCTTGAAAGGAAAATTCTTAAAACTCATTTTAAAAATTCATCTAGACTATGTTCTATGCAGCTATATCCATGAAATTATCTATTGCATGTATCTTGATTTATAATGACAAATTTTCATTTAATTCATTATATTTGTCTTTTTTAAAAGGTCAAATATGGTTTCAATTTTTAATATGTTTGATTTGACAAATGCCATATTGATATGGGATCAAGTTGCTTTCAATATTTTCTTATTCTAAAACACACCAAAATAAACCCATTTGTTCTACTTATGATCAATTACATGTACCAAATAAATTTTATAGAACTGAAATTGTTGCTCTATAATTTTTTGCTATAAACTTGGGGAATACAAACCAATTTATATTTTTCCGACAGCAAACTCTTGAGTTCTCATTCACACACAACATTCCAAAATAATCTTGCTAGTACTGATTTTAGAAAAAAAAAACTTTTTCAAATTTGGTGTGTATCCTTTGATACAAAATACTTCTTGCGTATTTTCAGTGTGAACTAAAGTCCATCCTCCTTTCTATTTGTCTTGGGTACTACATTTTTCCAGCTCTGAAGAGAGATAATTCAATTTGTTCTTCCAGTTCCTGGAGCTTTCTACACAAATGTATTCCCCTTTTCACCACACATACCTACAGGTTCAACAAAGCTTCATATTTTGTTTTACTCACCAAGAATAAGAAATGGTGAATTTGCAACTATGATCACAAATGGGACTCCAATGTGCAACATCAAGCCAAAGCCGCTCACCACTGACAAGGCAACACAAAACACTCCAGAGACTGCTACCCACATTTTGTTTCTTACACAGTCCAACCTGTAAGTGTAGAGGGAAAAATAAAAACTTGTGATGGTAGCTTTCCTACTGAAATCCGACCAATTGGTTGTTGACTTAGACACCAAGGCAAAAGCCTCTAGGATGATAATTTTTATATCTGTTATATACATATGTATGCATATACATATCTTTTATCCATACATATGCATATATACATATACAAATATATACATATTACAGGTATACCAAACAATTCCTCAGGTCAGGCAATTATAGAAAGATCAAATTGAACTATAAAGGACATGCTAAACAAACAGAAAGGGATGGGAAAATACCCCCAGAAATAGATTGTATAATGCTTTATTAACCTTGAATTTTCTTATCTCTAATGAGAAGGAAACAGCAGCAGAGAGATTGGATAATAGAAAAAGATTCTGAATTAAATCAGCCAGTGTATTTCAAGAATGTGTTGACCTCAGAATGAAAACAGGAGATGTGCTACATTGGGGAAGGGGTTTCTCTGTTTCTACAGGAGAAGAAAAGCTATGAATATCATCAAAATTAATAAACATTTGGCTTGAAAAAAAGAGAAATCTCTGAGACACAAAAAAATGACAGTTCATCCACAGAGGTTACAATCATATAAGTGGTAAGAAACCCTCATAAGGGTTGGGGCAGATTCTGTTCTTGTCTTCGCAGAAAAATACTCATCTTCAAAAAGTCAAGAGACTTTGGACATTTAGATGCCTAAAGGAGAAAACATAGCTATCCAGAAAGAATCAACAAGCAAAGAGAAATCTGACTTATGATACCATATCCTTTACAGGGTAAAATTTCATTACATATATATACACTTCTCAGTATAATAAAAGCATAAATCACTTAAAAATCAAAGCTGGCTTTGGAGTTGAACAATGACTATCCATCTCTAAATCTAAGCATGTTGTTCAAAGAACAATTCAGAGTTTCTGTCTCATATAGAGTCAACTGGTAAGGAACAGAAAGAAGAAAGAATTTAGGAAAGATTTTGCTTTTCCTCATAAATATTTCTGTCTCTATCATACCTTTCATTGAATATATGTCTATATGAATAATAATAATAATGAACAATAAATTTTCCTGAAGTATTCTTTGAAGTTTCCAGGAAGAAGATGGGGTCCCACAACAATGATTTCATCTGACTGTTATGACATCATGATGCTGATAATGCTACTTTAAGATCGGTTTTGGGTACCAGCTGCTCAAAATGATTCCAACTTTGTCAGCTGAAATGGTGCATCTTCTTACAATGTTATGGCCAGAATTTCAAATGAGAACTTCATTAAAAACCCTACCCACTACTCAGAGACTATTTGCAATTATACCAGACAGTAATCTTGAAATTTAACCATCATTTTAGTTTTTACAGGATCCCATAGAAAGAACATGGCCCTCATGATAGCTGGACGTAATTCTAGAAGATAACGTCCCCTCTTTCAATAAAATTTATCCTCAGGGTTAGGGACATCAATTAGGGATTGATTATAACTGACATAGGGTTGGGAGTTGGGGTGTAAATTTTGTAATCTCAGGGATCTCCTTTGGGGGATAAAAGTTAAAAAGGGATATAAATATGATAAGATAGAAAGGTAGATTACTGAATCTACTCTTAAAAGAAAAAGGGAGGATATAGATATGATAAGATAAAAGGCAGATGTTGAATCTACTTTCTAAAAGCAGCTATTAGTTTTAAATGTTTTACATTGGTTTTACTTTTGTCCATTGTATACAAATTTTGTATAATGATATAAATTCGAGATTAGTTTTGTTAAAACATTGTTCAAGGTATTGTATCTATACAGTTCATTTAACAATGTAATGCAAATTTCTAGTCCTTAAAAATTATCATCATCAACTGTTTAGGATAATAAAGAAATATAGGTTAGTAGTTAATCACATAGTATAATCGAACTTGTAGTATTTTCAAGGTCAAACAAAGATATAATTTAGATAGATAGGTAATCTTCAGACACTTCAGAGATCTACAGAATATGGTTTTTAAGATGTTTTAATAACCTAGGTTCTTCTTTTTTTATGACAATGAGACATGTCTACTTCTAACAGCACCAATCTACTTCAGAGAAGATAATGGGCATCGAAGAAACTCCACAAGGAGTTTACTTTCTTTCTGGCAAAAGTAAGCCCTGCCTCAACTGCTGGGACTATTCTGTCCTGATTAGACAAGCAGGATACAAAATATCCTGCTTCACAGAAAAGTCTGTTGAATATACTAAGCTGCAGGCCAAAGATGGATGCCCCAATGTTGCAAAGAAACTTTGGGTGACTGTCTAGGCAGCCAGCTGTTTCTGTCCTTACATTTTTTGAAAGTTTCTTCCTTCCACTTCCTGCTTACTCAATATTTCCTTCTTGGGTCTCTGAGGGAGTTGAAGATTAGATAGCTATAGTTATAGTTTACCAAACACAGAAAGCAAGTTATGATAAAAAGTAAATTAAGTATAAGACTTTGGACTCACCAAGATAGGATAGGAAATATTTTCTCTGAATTTGTCAAATGGACTAGACATTGTTGATGTACTTATTGCCTGTATGTATTGTATATAGTCATTGTACTTATCATATATATTTTTCTTATATTAGTTATAGCTTTCTTTTTTATTTTAGACAAAAAGAGGGAATGTAGTGGCATTTCAATTGTATCTTAATAAATAAAGACTGCCTGAAGATCTGAGAGTAAAACAGTATTACTAGTCAGTTTTAAGACCAGATTATGGTAACACACACCTTTAATCCCAGTAGCCACAACGACACACACCTTTAATCCCAGTACTAAAGGGGAATATAAAACAAGGAAAGATAGCTCTCAGACACACTCTCATTCTGAGATTCCTGAAGGGAGAATTGTCATTTCAGACTGGTGTCAAGATAAGAGCCAGTGGCTGGCTGTTTTGCTTTTCGGATCTTCAGGTGGAACCCCAATTTCTGACCCTGAGCTTTTATTAATTTTTCTTTGTTTAATCATGCATCATCTGTCTGATGGAGACCTTAAACTAACAGGCACTATTACATTTACAACTCACACAAAAAAAATAGAGGAGACAACAAAGTTGGGACTCCATAGACATTCCTGGGTGATTAATATCTGGGTAACTATCTGATCACCAATCTACTGGCTAGCATTTCAGAATAAAAATTTGCTAAGCACTACAAATGGTTAACTCTGCTCTGACTTTCAGAAGGGTATGAATGAAATACAGTAGATAATAGATGGTGGTGTGGTTCATTTTCTGTTGCTGTGGCAAAATACTTGTGGCCTGATACTTTATAAAATGAAAACCATTGATTTAGTTCACAATTCTGAAGGTCCAAGAGAATGATACAGCATCTTTGCAAGAGCTCCTCTCATTGTGTTATAACATGGTACATGTCTTTGTGGTGGGAAAGAGAGAGAGAAAGAGAGACAGAGACAGAGAATAAAAGGAAAGATGGGAAAGTAGATTTAAGAGAAAGGCTTGCTGTTTTCATAGCAACTTTCTGTTACAAGAACTAATGAGAGTTGCTTTCTGAGGGCAGCGTCCCTATCACTTTTCATACTCTACTTCTTCAAGGTATCACTGTCTCCCAATATCACAATGCTAAAAATCAAGTTATCAATACATGAACTAGGGCTCCCTCAAATCACATCCAAAGCACAGTTGAGGGCAAGCTGTTCATGAAATGAAGCACATATTCAGCTCTCTGTCCATCCAACCCCTGACTTCAACTAGACATAAACATAGTACAAATAGTCTGTAATTTCAAATTAGTCCAGTAGATACTGTGCTAAAAGTATGAAAACATTGCTTAAAATCATTTTCATGATTTTTATCTACTTGATGATGTGTGCTTTATAGAAAGGTTGATAATTTGAAAAAGGAAAGAAAAGAATTGGAGCACAACACATTTTGAACGACCAACCTATTTCCTTGTCAGGACAACAGAAAAGAAGATAAATACAAGACATGTTTAAAGTATGATACAACACTTTCAACCCCACTGGCCACAGTGCATTTTTAAAATTTTTGGACTTATTTTCTTCTGTGTGTATGTTTGTTTAGCCTGCATATCTGTATGTTCACAATGCCCATTCCTTCTTCCCACAGAAGTCAGAAGAGGATGTTTTATCATAAGCCATCAAGTGAATGCTGGGAACTGAACCTGGGTTCTCTATAAGAACCAAAAAAAAATCTCTTAAACCATCCCTCTGCCCCCATCAGTACATTTTAAAACCTTGGCAATACACTACAGGTTTTAGACTTCACTTGCTAGAAACTGCTTCAAAACCGTGAGTGACAACTATACTTCCAAATACATTACAGGGAAAAGAAAACAAGTTAGGGCCCTACATGTGAGGATGATGAATAGGAATTCAAATCAGAGATTCTAAGATAAAAGGAAAGATCACATTCAAATAGGCAAAGATTTCTTCACCTATTCCTATTCCAGGAAGGAGGAAGAAACTTAAGAGACACACATCTAGGAAAGCAGAAGCTTGTAAAAATCCTCATAGATCTGCTAGGAGAGGAATCCAACCAGTCAAGACACAGGAAAAACCCTCAGTCTATCCAGTTTCCTTGCAAATTATGCAGAAAGTTCTAGGGATACAACTTTCATGAGTGGCCACCCATGTTAAGTTGTGCTTTTTGGTGATCCAGTTGCTCTTTCTGAGTCACCTCTATTCCTGTAAGTAACCCCCTTACACATACTACTTTTAGTAACCCCATTAAAAATTCATTAGTTCTTCAAATTTAAACTCTGCTGCAATCATTACTTTGATCTATTGTGAGTTCCCTTTCTGGGGTGAGTAGGTGTGTGTGTTATGTTGTGCTTTTCCAAGAAAAGTATGTCATACAATAGTGACAAATGATGTTCCAATGACAATGTTGTTTGGAGGCAGGGGAAAGTGCATAATCAATGGTGATTCCAGAAGATTAAACCAGGGCTGACAACTTCATGTCACCTGCTCAGTGTACAGATAAATATGCAGAAAAATGAAAAACACCACAGAATAATTTTCATGAAAAGTCATATTGAGGGACTTAGCTTTTCAGACCTCAACAAACTCTTTAAAGAGTTAGAAAAAGGAGCCGTAGAAATGACTCAGCAGTTAAGAGCACTAGCTGCTCTTTCAGGGGACCAGGGTTTGGTTCCCAGCACTCAGAGTAGCTCACACCATCTGTAACTCTGTTCTAGGGTATCTGACAACATCTTCTGTCCTCCATGGGTACCAAGCAAGTACAAAGCATACAGACATATGTGCAGGCAAAACACCCATATATATGAAATAAAATAATATTTAAAGAAAAATTTTAGATTGGAAACCTAAAACTATTTTCATCAACAGAGAATAAGGTTTGTAGCACACAATCTACTTGCAAGCAACTCAGCAATTAGAAAAAGAAACAAACCAAGCCAACAGGCAAGGGCCCATCTCAGGCTGGTAGCTGAACTTCTCAGTGTTGTTCACATAGTACTAGTTTTGTAGACAAGAAAGATGCAAAATTGAGAAAGTCACTGATTCTTTTCCACAGTGTCAAAGAGCCACTGAGGCCAAGCAATGTGTGCCAACGTCAGAGGCCCTGAAACGCCATTGTGTGAAGCTTGTAAAAGTAAAACCCAGATTGTGTTTCAGACCTCAAGATGTTGGAGATGTCAAAACTGCAAAAGATGTGTATCAAGGAGGGCTGAATACAGGGAATGAAACCAGCTCAGGAGAGATACTGCTGACAACAAAGCTGGAAGTGCCAAGGCATCTAACCAAGCCCTCTGAACCTGAAGTCCCAGCTACCAGACAGAGAGCTACAAACCTTTGGGTTTGCCCTGCTGGGTTTCAGTCTTGGTTTCCTCTAATATTTCCTTACTATGTCCCCAAACTTCCATTTTGGAGGGGTAATATATACTCTGGCCCATTTTATAGTATATATGTGTATGTGTATCTGCATATATATGTGCATATATATAATTTGGTTTTTTTAAAAAAACAGGAAATCACAGTTAAGAAGAAAATTTGGACTTTTGAACAGTGCTTAGACTTAAAATTATAGGAACTTACTTTTTACATTTTGTATGTATATGTCTTACACCATATTTGCAGTGATAAGAAGGGAAGGTCAGACCAACTAGAAGTGGGGTTACAGGCAGTTATTAGCCACCATGTGGGGGTGCTAGGAACCAAACCCAGGTACTATTAACTGCTGAGCCATTTCTCCAGCCATTACTGTGGGAATGTTTAAGGTTGGATTAAATGCATTTTGTATTGTAAGATGGTCATGAACTTATGGGGACAAGGGGCAGAAATTATTAGTCTGAATGAGAAATTAGCCTCATGGACTTTTCCCCTGAACACTTGGTCCTCATTTGGTGGTACTGTTTGAGGAAGTTATGGAACCTTTAGGAGGTAGAGCCTTTCCAGAGAAAGTACATCACTGGGTATCAGCTTTGAGGGTTTAAGCCTCACCCACTTTCTGTTGTCCTTCTGTTTCTTATGTGTGGATGAAATATGACCAGCCAGATCCCTGTTCCATAATAAACTGTATCCCTTGAGAAACATAAGCCAAAATTAATTCTTTCTTCTATAAGTTATTTTTGGTATAGGTTTTCTATCAAGTGACAGAAAAGCCAAACAATATTATAACTTACAGAGTGAGGTGACAAGGCAATACACGGCAATAGACACCTACTTTAAAAAGGAAAGACTTGAATAATTGGAAATCTGTAAAATTAGGCGAAAAAATAAAACCAAAGATAACAGAAGTGTCCGTCTGTTATGGTTTCTTTAGACTGAGTAAGCTATAAAGAACAGAAAGGAAAAGTCTAGGACAGGCAAATTCAGAGATAGAAAATAGGTTAGTTTTTCTGGGACTATGGGAGAAGGGTTTAGGGGGTTACTGCATAATTAATAGAGTATCTATTAGTAGTGATGAGATACCTAGGAAGCAGACAGTTGTGATGGATAAACAGTATGGATAGAATTAATATCACTAAATTGTTACAATAAAATATTGTATATCGTGTATGTTTTATCACAATATATTAGAAAGTGAGAAGTAAATCATGAGTGAGAGGTTTACCTGAAACATGATACAACTGAAAACAGTATGATTAAAATGTATGCCAGATGGAACAGAGGAATTACAGTTTTGGAGGTTGCCTCAAACTCCAGCTGCCTTGAAAGGGATGTAAAGTAGACTACCTGCAACAACAAAAAATACTCGGTATCAATCCCAATTCCAGAGTCTGTCAGAAGTTACAAACTCTGCTGGACACTTCAGCTTGTTAATACCCACACTGTAAAAAGTGAATTATTTGCCTCACATAAAATCTGCAGTGTGTTTTCCAACCTTTCCCTCAAAATGCAAAGTTTAAATGGTTGCTCTACATTTTAGCCAAGATCGGGTTTAAAAAAAAATGCCAACCATAAATATAAACAAACCAAAATTGAATTTTATGCACACTGTAAAACCTTATCCTCACTGACAACTGTGGAAACTTGTGGGCATTTCCTACATCTTATTATATTGGTGTCTTCTCATATTTTAGTTGCATCAGTAACACTTTAAGAAATGCTTGGCTTCCCACTAAGCATTTGCTTTCACTACAGTTATATATTGGAATTGCTGACCCAGAATTTTAACAGATGACATATACTTCAATACTAAGCTAGGTGTCTTATCTATAACTAACCAGACAAGGGTTGAAGTAGTTATCTATCTTCTTAAATAACATGACAGAACTTGAAAGTTTTGTCTTTTAATTTCATTGGGCACAAACCAGGCTGTAGGAACTCCTAGGAACAAGGATGGGCTTAATAAAAGAAATATTTTTCAAGTAACTTAATTAGAAAACCAAACCCCACACCAGGTGTGAAAGTCATTTTCTATACTAAGCAGAGTTCCTGATGCAGGATTCGTGTACAGACCAGAATGATGACAATGCTTTATGATCTGTGGCTTCATCCATCTGTATAACAATGGGATTCCATACCAAGCATAGCAGAGCATATTCAGATTTAATTCAAGGGTCATCTCATCTCCAACCCTCCCACCCTTATTGGCCTCCCTTGCAAACCGTAACCTCCAGAATACCTCTGTCTTTTCTAAAGTCAGACTGTTCTCCATGTCGTTGAAATGGTCAAGAAAGTGAGTCAGCCATGCCTTGCTACGCGCACTGTCCTCGGGGTCTTCGGTCTTGAGGTAATACAGCAGCCTCAACGCTCGGGACTGGACAAGTCGTTGACTTCTTCCCACCGTTTGGCCCAAGACGTTTCCCCCAAAGAAGCCCGCCAAGTAGATGAAGTGGTTGGACAGGTTATGAATGGGGAAGGTGAGGCTTGATAGATCCAATGACAAGTTATGCTGCCAGGCATACAGCAGAGGGTTGGGTGGCACGCACAGCGTCTTGTACTTGGCGCACACCTCTTTGTACAGGATCTGCGTTCCGTCTTCCTGTACCACCTTCAGCGCCTGCACCGCACTGTCCAGCTTGCTCACCTCTGTGAATGTCCTCGGCTCCAGGAGCGTGTCGGTGAGAGACACCACCAGGATGGACGCGAAGTTGGACTCAGAGCTGGTCCTGGAGGCGGAGAAGCGGTACGAATCGTTGGTGCTGAAGTGACCTTGCACGAAGCGCCGCTCGGCCTTGGCAGGGCTGCCAATCGGCGTGTACTGCTCCTCCAGGTTCTCCTTCTCCTTGGGCAGGAAGATAAGGCCGGTGCCCAGTGCGACCGTCAGTAGCACAGGCCCAAGCAAAAACAGCCAGGGGTGAGAACCCACCGCGGCGCCAAGGCGCTGGAAGGAGCGCGACAGGGGCGCTTCCAAACAGTCGGTGTGGCAGCGGCGTGGTGGAGGTGCCTCCTGACCCAGGGGCGGCAGGCGCTCTGATGGCGGCCCTGCGGCCCAGCTAGGGCCAGCCTCGTCGGATGACTCTGCTTCCAGTCGACCTTCAGACAGTGTCTCCCGCTGAGCCTCCTCTTGGGGCACCACCTTGGAGGAGATCATGTCGCCTACAGCTGCTCAGAGGATCTGCTTCCGAGCTACTTGCGCCCCAACGGTCTGGGACCCATGGACCGTTGGCTGCTCTGGGGGCCCGGATGCTGGAGGCAACGGTTGGGAGCACGTGACCGAGGGGGTCTTCCTGGTCCCGGGTCTGTCCCAGGGTTAGGGTTGGTACCACTCTCCTTGTTACAGAGCATCTCCTCAAGCCAAGCCCTATGGAGCAGTTCTCCCTCACTGGGAGTATGAGCTTACCCCTTCCAGTTTGCTGATCCAGTGGCAGGGACAGCTTCACACTTGCTTTGTCGTAGCCTAGTCGCTTTCCCCTTCTAGATTGTCAAATCTCTGAGATTGAGGCTTGTTGTATCTAGGTTTGTTAAAAAAGTAAATGCCAATCAGATGAACGGAAGTATTTCTTAGAGGAAACACTGCTTATACTTATTACAAAGTTATCAATGGGAAGTTTACAGTTTCCAATCAAAACAAAAACTGTACTGAGACAGCTAGATTTGAGATTCATTATAAATTAGCATCCAAAGAAGGAAGTGTTGCACATAGATTATTACTTCCAGCTTATTTCCTCTATATTCAAGTAAAAAGCCTGTAACCAGATAGCATTTACTGGAGATTGGTTAAGATCATCGAACAAAATTTCCTCTAAATTTGTTGCATCTTTGTGTGTTTGCAGTATCCATGAACCAATATCAGTTGCTTTTATCACAGCAGGTGATAGATTCTTTGATAATTTGCTGAGTTATTGTGCCCATCCTGGAACTGTGGTATGCAATTGTGTGAATTTCCAAATGTTTATTCACCCCAAAGAAGAAAGAGCCTAACAGATTAAAGAAAGATTCTGCTCTCCCCCGCTTTAAACAAATCAATGAGTATTAGGATTACTTACAGGAGCAGGGGCAACCTACAGACAGCTGCACCACCAAAAAGACCCACCTCAGTCAGCATTTTACTTCTTACAGCCAGCCATTGCCTGCCTAAAGCAAGGAAAGGAGGGAACAGGGTTGAAATAGAGAAGAGTCGAGGAGATCCTGCTAATAACTCAATTACTACAGGTCTAGCTAATCTGCTGTATATTTCTGTTAATTTTGTTTTCATAGCTGCAGGGTAAGGTCTCCTGTAGGTCATCACAACTATTCTGAAATATGCCAAGAGGAGTACATAATCCATCACTTGTGCTTAAACTGAGGTCAGTTTTTGGTTGGCCAAAAATTACAGATGAAGCCAGATGCAGTGGTCTGCACCAGTAGCCCTAACTATTCATGAAGTAGAGATAGAAAGATTGTAAGTTCAAGGCCAATCTGGGCAAGAGAGTGGGACCTGTCTTAGAACAAAATATTGAAGCTGAGGAATGGGACTGTAGCTCAGTGCTAAAGTTTTTGTCTAACATGTCCAAGATCCTGTACTTAATCCCCAGGACCACACACACACACACACACACATATATGTGTGTGTATATAGATATATAACCTTGTGGAGGTCTTATGATTTGATGGAACAAGACCCTCCAAAAAGGTCTCCGTGAACCCTAAAATTACTTCACCCAACAAACATCAGGAAGTAGTTTGGAGAAGACAACACCCAAATTCCCAAAATGATTGTTTATAAATGTTTGTTTTCATTTAAAGGTGATTGATTATAAATGATTAATAGTCACAGTCAATTTCTAAAAAAAGTAATAAACAATATGATATAGAAATTAATACTTTATGCTGGTATGGATTTTGGTTATTGATACAAATTTAAGGTCAATTTTGTTATATGTATATTTCTAGTATAAGGTATTATGTTTATACAGCTCACTTAAAAATGTAATATATAATTTAAAATGACAGATGAATAGATAGTCATTTATTATAGTCAAACTTGTAGTCATGTTAGGTTTTCTAGATCTATAGAGACATATTTCACTTAGATAATCTTCAAAACTTCAAAGACCTACAGAATATGGCATTGAAAAGGTTTTAAGAACTTAGACTTTTCTCAACAGTGAGACATGTCTGATTCTGGCAGGACCAGTCTACTTCAAGAAGATGATGGGCATTGAAGAGGCTCCTTATGGAGTTGGTTAGCCATTTGGGCAAAAAAACAACTCTTGCCTGGACTGCTTGATGGTATGTTGTATTAACTGGACATGCAGGACCCACAGAAAAATGAGTGCTGAACTTGCCAAAAGAAGGTGAAACAGTACTTCAGGGTTCCTGCTCCACCAAAGAAACTGCCAGACATTCTGAAGGACACAGAAGAAAGTGACTGACAAACTGCCAATATAGGCAAAACTTTCAAAATTTTCAAAAAGTCTTTCAAATTTCCTGTTTCACTGAAATGTCTGTCAGATATTATGGGCTGAAGGTGGGTGCCTACAACATTACAGAAGAACTTTGGGTGACTGTTCAGGCAGAGAGATGTCTGTTAATTCTAGAGTTTTGGAAGTTGCTTACAATGCACTTCCTGTTAACTTAGGTAATATTATATCCTTCTGGGGTCTTTGATGGAGTTGAAGTAGGTAGTTATAGTTTTCCTCAGTTATGATAAAAGATAAATTAGATATGAAATTTTCCAGATACAAATAGACTGAATATTGTAACTGTAAATTTTGCTTGACACCTGTTTTGTTATATGTAATTTTACTATGTTAAAGTTAAAAACCTTTCTTTTTATTTAGACAGAAAGGGGGAGGTGATGTGGGATTCCCCTCTGTATGTTGTGAATATGTTTTATTACCATTGGTTAATAAAGAAGCTATTTAGGCCTATGGCAGGGCAAAATAGAGTTAGGCAGGAAAACTAAACTGAATGCAGGGAGAAAGAAGGCAAAGTCAGGGAGATGCCATGAAGCTTCCAAAGAAGAAAGATGCCAGAACCTTACTGGTAGGTCACAGCCTCGTGGTGATACACAGATTAATAGAAATGGGTTCATTTAAGATGTAAGACCTAGCTAGGACTATGCCTAAGCTATTGGCCAAAACAGTGTTGTAATTAATATAGTTTTGTGTGATTATTTGGGTCTAGGCATCCAGGAAACAAACAAGCAGTCTCCACTTACAAGGATCCAGTCCCTGACTCTCTATGTATTCAAAGTCTTGTGCACTAAATCTCACTTTAAATGGGCTCTGGGGGAAGTGTGATAGAGCAAAGTCATGAGCCTACGGGAAGGAATCCCACAGGAGAGAGTTTCATGCTTCACTCAGATCTGTCCACCATCCTGGTATCTCCTGCCTTCACCCATTCCTATCTCAGAAACAGCAAGTTATAAACAACAGGAGCTACCCTGTTTAAGCAGTAAAGTAAGAATTGGCAGCCTGGCGGCAGTGGCGCACGCCTTTAATCCCAGCATTCAGGGAGGCAGAGGCAGGCGAATCTCTGTGAGTTTGAGGCCAGCCTGGTCTACAAGAGCTAGTTCCAGGACAGGTTTTAAAGCTACAGAGAAACCCTGTCTCGAAAAACAAAACAAAATATAACAAAACAAAAAAAGAATTGGCAGTGGAAAAGTTGTCATCTAGAAAAGCAGAGTTGTTAGAAGTAATCCATCTACAGTAACTCTGGTCCTGCATGGCTAGAGATTAATTTCTCTCAACACAAGGGTATTCCAGCCTTAATCTTATGCAACTTGTCTCTCCCCTTCTGCCTTTACTCTCCTGTGACTATCCAAACTCTGACTTGATTTTTAATCTTCTGGAAAGTAGATTCTTGGTCTAGGATCACTGGAGCACCTTCAGGGTGTCTTCACAAAATGTGTCTATTTCCTGAAAGGAAAGCTTTTCCCACATGAAGCAAATTCTGAAATGGTTACTAAGAGGTGTCTGAAGGAAATTATAGTTTGCGTCAGTTTCTCTGCACAAACACTTGGTGTCAGCAGAGTAACGCGCAAGGCTGGGCTCTGGCTCACAACTACCAATGTAACTACAAGTTAATTTTTCCTTTTACTTGGTTTGGATCGTTTTTCCAGCTGTGTTTTTTGTTAGAAAAAGGTTTGATCATTCCTGACAGCTGGATTTAGTGCTTCAAGAGAGTGAATTAGACAGAGGAAATCTATAGAGCGTGATTGCTGGCTGTAAGATTCTTAGTGAGCTACCAAACATTCCCAAGTTGTTTGCTAACTGGAATTGTAATCCCCAAGAAGCAAGTGCTCCTGGGCATTAAACAGTTGGGCCAGAAACCATACCCTATCCCTGGCTGTGCCTACTTTTTCCCTCACCCTGCACCAGGCACACAGCAGGAAAAATCAGCTCTAGGGCACAGTAGAGCAAGAGCTCCAAAAGCACATATTGCAAAATGGTGGTGTGTGATCTAACAGCGCTAAAAGACCCTTGTCACACTTGGATTCTTGGTTTTCTAGAGCACAACAGAGAAAGGAATACAGATGTGCCTGCTGCCCCCCTAAGCTCCCGTGTTGTAGGAGGAGGCCATTTGTTTGTCCCGCCCGCCCAAAACTGAAATAATCACACAGGAACTGTATTAATGAAATCACTGCTTGGCCCATTCACTCTAGTTTCTTATTGGCTAACTCTTATATCTTAATTTAACTCATTTCTATTAATCTGTATATCATCACGGGATCATGGCCTACCAGCAAAGTTTCAGCAAGTCTGTTTCTGGGGGGCGGATCCATGGCATCTCCTTGATTCTGCCCTCCTTTCTCCTAGCATTCAGTCTGGTTTTTCCTGCCTACCTAAGTTCTGCCCTATCAACAGACCAAGGTAGTTTCTTTATTTATTAATGGTAATCACAGAACACAGAGGGGACTCCCACATCACTCCTGCAGCCTGAGCATGTCACAAGGAAACAGTGGGAGGAGGTCAGGGTGGGAGCACTGAACAGCTGGAGGAAAAGATTCACATTCTCTTAGTGAGGTGTGGGATGGTATACTCTGATGCTGCCTGATCATTGTCTCCCTTCAGCACATATGGCTGGAGATGAGACACTACAAACACTACTGTACCCCTAAAAACGGGGTACAGCACTGAGATTCTTACTGAACTGACTATAAGTTTGGCTTCTGCTTCTCCAAGGCCCTTTGGAAAAGCTACTCCAA